ATTTACTAGCTTGACTTTTCTCTTCAGTTTTAGATTCACTTTGAGCTTCATCTTTTCTTCAGTTCTTCTGAGTTCTTAAAGTAAATACACATTCTTTTAAGCTAGATGCATGTTTTTCTTTACAATTGAAGCACTTAAGTAGAGTATATTAACATATTTCATCTCTTTTTAAGCATGTTTCATATTTATGCTTACTAGTTTTATGATCTCTAGCACAGAATGCATATTTTGAGTCTCTGAAACAAGAGATTACAAAGTATTCATATCTTTGACAGTTTGAACACTGTGTTTGAGCTTTGAGATTCTTTCTTGAGTCTTTGTATTCATGAACTCTCATTTTCAAATCTACTACTCTTACTTCAGAGATTGTTGATTATTCAAGTATCTTTATATACATTAGAACAGAGGCATTTCTTCTACTCTATCTGAACTTAATTGAATTAAGTTATACAGACTCTTTTCTGAGTTGAATAGAATTGTATTCTTTCAATTCATTTTTGAGAAGAAGTATTTCTTTCTCACAGTCAAAGATTTCAACTGAAATATTATAAAGAATGAATTTATCTCACTTTTCATCTCTCTTAGATAGAATTGTTATATTTAACAGAGATTCTACTGCTGACTTTCAGAGATTCTCATTCTGAATAAGAAATTCTGCACTGAATTCAGGCATTGTGATCAGAATGATAAAGTTTTTAAAGAAGAATGACTCAATTGAAGCTATAACTGATTTTTGAACTTTAATATCAGTTATTAACTGAGAAAAGAACTGCTGATTGATTTCATTTCTAATTTTGAAAATAAGGTTTGAGTTTAGCTTATTTCTCTGTAATATATTCTGATTTAAGACTTTGAGAATAAGTCTTCTATTTCTGAAGATTTGAAGATTTTTCTCTTTTTACATTTTTTTCTTCACTCTTCTATTAATAGAAGTATGAGCAGTATTCTTCTCAGTTTTCTCAGAATTTTGAGTAGATTTTGAGATAGCAGATTTAGAGATAGCAGATTTAGAGATAGTAGATTCAGCTGTTTAAATATATATTTTCTTCTGATTTAAAGAAGAAGAAGAAGAAGAAGTAAAAAAGAAAGAAGAGTAAACTGAAGAGTCAGTAATTATATTAGAAATTTTCAAAGTTTTTTAAACTGTGTTTGAAATTCCAAGTTTAAACTTGATCATTTTCTGTAGTTGTCTAGTCTGAGTATAAAGAATTAACAGAACTTCTTCATTCATCTCACTCAGACACTGCTTTTCAAGAATTTTACTTACTTTTTCAAGTTTCTGTATTTCAAGAACTTATTGTTTCTCTATTTCTTCTTTCTTTCTTCTCTTTAGAATTTCAATCTCAGAAATAGCATTTGAGAAAGCATTCTTTTTCACATTAACTGAGTGTACTTTTGAACTCATTATTCTTACTCAATGAAAAGTTGATCAGACTACTTCAATTAAGATATTTATTAAACTCTTTTGAATTGAAAAGTTAATCAGACTATTTCAATTAAAAGATTTCTAAGTCTGTTTTCAATTGATAAAATGAAAATAAGACAAGACTGAGATAAAAATAGAAGTACTGTGTATATTATTAGATATTATAGAGAACATCTTTTATTAACTTTATTCTTAACTTAATTAAGAAAACAGCTGCAGTCATTATCTTTGATAATTAATTCATCTCTCAGTTCTGCAGATCTCTCTTTAATCTTTTATCAATTATCTATATTATTATTTAACTCATTCTCAAGTCAATCTTATTTCATCTTTAAAGACATGCTTTCACTGCAGTTACAGTTCTATCTCTTTTATTAATAAGCTGTAAAATCAATCTTGCAGAGTCTTCTGTTTTGAGCTTAGCTCTGCAATGTCTTTGTACACAGAGGCTCGTGTGCATTAAGATATTTTATTTTGGGGTAGGAAAGGCAATGGTGGCAAGTACCGGAGGATAGGACAGGGGCAGGAACAGGGCTAGATGAAATTGTGCCAAACTCGAGTGCGGAGTACACAAAAAAGAAGAAAAGAAAAAGAAAAAAGGCCAATAGAGCCAATAGAAAAAGGAGAAATTATCGAAAAATGACACAAGGACCAAAAGCCTCATTATTTTAGAAGAAGTATGGTTGAGAAACGGTAACTTGTGACGAAAAGGAGGAAATATAGAAAGAAAGACATGCAGCCACAGAAGCTCATTTGACAGGCTGGCCGAACAATAAAACGCACATCACAAAACACGGTAAATAAGGAGAAGGATTTAAGCAAGCAGTTTCCTTTTTCTCTCTATGGTTGCTTAAAACGTCTCTAGTTCCTCGCCTCCGGCAGCCCCTTCTGCCTCGGGTATTTCGAAGCCCTCCTTTATTAAGAGTTCTTGGTTAGCAAACTTGGTCTGTAGACGATGAAAGCTCGACAGAACAGAACAAAAGCAATGGAATATTTCAATAAAGCAAAATAAAGAAACATGAGAAGGGGGATAGGGATTTGCCATGAAAACCAAAAGGAACGGGGAGCCAAACAGGACATACCTCAGTCGAATAGAGGATAGCTTGAATATGTTTCACGAGCGAATCGTCATCCTTATCCAGCTCTGGATCCGCCTCGACAGCCTGCTGCAGCAACAGCTCGATGTCTCGCAACTTTGCAAAGTAAAAATCGCGCTCCTTCTCCAGGCCGGCGATGGCTTCCTTTTGCGCATTTATCTCGGCCGTCAATGCGGCTGAGTTGGCTCCACCAACACCACCAGCGAGTCGTGGCCGGCCGCCCGCTGAGTTCACGGGTGTCGTGCCACCTCTTCGTGCGCCTGAGGCAGATGTAGTACGTGTGGAATTGGAGGCTGGGGCCCCAGAGGCCTTTCGTCTGCCGAGGGCGTCATATTCACCACCTGGGTAGTATTGGTCCCAGTGCTTCTTAGTCCATTGGAGGAATTCGAGGTTATCTTGCATTCGGCATTTGATGAGATTTTCAACGGGGACGGGACGGTCTATTTGGTGCCGTATGAAGACATCTAAGAGATTGATTGTTAGAATTTGGGGAGTATAATCACTTGAAAACGCATCCCAGCAGCGTTGGTAAGGAGATATATTGCTTTTGGGAGCTGATTGTAAATTGTGGATTTGTTTGGGGAAGGGATTTCGAGTAGGTCGTACTTTGCAGGATCTTGAAGTTTTGGAGGTAGGCGTATTCAGTATTGACATTGAACTTGACTCTCGCCATGGGAACATCCACTATTCGACGAAGTCCAAGTTGGTTAGCGATAAGATAATTATTATCTCCAGAAGAATCCACATAAAGAGTACTGACTGTATATAGAATCAAAGACCTGGCATAGCGCAGCCCTATATCAAACAGGCAAGCAGCATTTCGTCAGCCATGTCCTCTTAATACTTTTCCAGTTCGTAAAATTCAAATATTTCAAGTCTCAGTGTCGTCCGTCAAATCGAGGCTCCTTTCGTACGTAGACATCCCAGGCCCAGGTGACTGTCATCTTCATCCAACCCAGCCCCATTCCATGCCAACCACCCCGACCAACCTATCCAAAGTCCTTTTAAACCGGCTAAACCCCCATACAAGACGAAGGCAGGGCAGGAATGGAGACGGTTGGAGCGAGAGGACACTGGGTCGGAACACCAAGTATCCCGGCAGCACGGGAACGCAACGAAGCTCGACACAAAGGAAACGGCAAGAAAAAAGTTATAGTGCATACCCGGTACCGCATTGCTCGACTTTGGTAATGTTTAGCTGCAGCAGGTTGTTCAACCACGCCAACAACTCTTGCCTACATATTCAGCCCCGACCCCAAAAAGAAGCGGGAGGAGAATCGTCAGCATGGGATCGTCACGTATGTGTGTGTGGATACATCAGACAACCGGCCAGAGGGAGCAGGGCCAGTAACTCTCATATTTAGTAGAGCAGGAAAATAGATAGATAGTTTCCACTCATTCCCTTCTTGATGGTATCTTGTGAAAGAGAGAAAAAAGAGTACAAGTCAGGGCTCTGCTCGCTTTTGCCGCCCACTTCATCCCATCCATCCCATCCACCCGTCTGCCTCGCTCCCTTTTCCTGAAGAAGAATGTAGTGAAAGGGGAAGATGAGGGGGGGGGGGAATGGCACTCAACAAACATACCTAGATTCACCCATGGCGAATATGGATCAAATCGATACCGGAGATCTATCTTCCTGTTCTGTTGTACGGATCCCTCCCCTAAAGGATGTGGTGCCCGTTTTTCTTAAAACTGTTTTTCGTGCTTTGGTTTTTGCACGAAGCTGATGGAACTGACTGTATGAACCCCCTGTACGAGATACGAAGGGCGGTTAGAACGAGAGAAGCAGAGGGAGAGTTTGAGAGGCGGAATGGGTAAAGAGGAGACGGGGTAGAATTATGTACGGACGTGTTTAGGTCGGAGGGGGAGAGGAGAGGAGAGGAAGGGGGGGGGGGGGGGGAACGCACGGTTGCGGTTTGGGAGATGATGTTATTTATTTAGTCTCCCAGCTGGACGAGTTGAGACTCGAGAGAAATGGAGGATTGGAGGGAGTGGGGGGTTGGTTGGAGGGGAGAATTACGAGAGTGAGTGAGAGGGAGGGAGAGAGAGATGAAGATGAAGATGAAAAATGAAAGACAAAAGGCGAAACCCGTTCGTAGTTGTTTGGTCTTGTTTTGTTTTTCCTGTCCTAGGAATGGACTTAAAATCCTTAAAAATATTCGGGTTAACTCAATTCGCTTTATTTATTTTTGATTCTATTTATTCTATTGATTTTTTGCCCCCACAACCGCTCTGGCCAACACTGAATAATATTCAACTCTATCTACAGGGAGGGATCCAAAGAGGTAGAATTACCTATCTGAGGTAATGAATGGATGTTGAATAAAGTTATTGTTATCTTAACTATTTTACACTACATTCGTATTTTGTTGTGTTCCTGACACAGGTTATCTATGAAGGCTGTTTGTTGCTATGGGTTGTCATTTTCTGTGGACAGCAGGATATATTATGATTTCAATGTCACTCGGTGCTCCTGTGCCTTCCGGTGGTTCGTTGTCATCGGAACGGTTCTTCCTGTTCAATTCCTCCACTCACAGTCCAAGAAAATCCTTTTAGCACTCCGCTAGCAAAGCAAAATATTAGGTATCATCAAATTCACTGAATACAATCACATGTCTGAAGAGAATAAAAAGTTTAGCGTTGAAATGGATAATAAAAATTCGTGCTAGGCGTGCGGCATAATTATTTCATATAGAAGAGGAGAAACCGACAAGAAGAAAATAGTTAAAACATTCCCATCTCTATGAACAGCAGTCAAACCGCAACAAACAGCACATACAGCTCATACAGCACATACAGCATTGAAAATGAATACAGTCAACCCAGCTCCGGTATAGCGCAAGAGAAAAACCGAAGAAAGAAATATATAGATAAGAAAAAACAGGTCTAAAATCCCAGTAGAAGGCAACATAGGTTTAAAACCTATAGAGAAGCAGGAAATAGAAATGGAAAGGAGAGAAAAGAATAGACAAGACAAGAAAGTAGATAATAAGAATCGAGAACAGAAGACTGTCTATGACGGTTATACACAGGCGTAACATAACATAGAAAATAGGTGCAAGAACAGATGAATATCAGGATGAAATCATTTCTGTGTGCAGGCAAAAGCAAATAAGCTGCAGACGGCCAAAGAAAACAGTGAGGATGAAACCAGAAGAAAAGGGAAGAAAAGAAAAGGAATAAGGAAAAAACAGCGAGAGATAGTAGGCGTCGCGTGCGAATGTCAAGATTGGATAAATGAAGAAGCTGCACACACCGGGTGGCAGCTCAGTGTAGGGGGAAAAGAATAACAGAACCGGATTTTCCGAACCAAAACAGAGGGACGATGCAAGGGAAATAGAGACGAAAGAAATTGTGTTCAGATAAAAAAGGACAGAAAGGAAAAGAGAAGAAACAGATGCTCCAAATATTAAAAAAATAATATATATATATAAAAGAAAAGGGAAAAGAAAAGAAAAGAGAAGAAAAGAAAAAACCTGTCTTGACATATTAACTCCCGTAAATCACTCCTCAAGAAGCTCAATCCCATCGAGCCCATACCCAAAATCCATAATAACAGTACGCCCATCCTGGCCCGCCGCTACAATTCGTCGATAATCACTCTTGGCACCGAGAATCCAACTCGTTGTCCAATTCGCCAAACTGATCGATAACTGCCCACTTGCCGCATCATAAACCTTAACGCTCCTATCGTAGCTCCCACTCACTATCCGTCCATTTGCCGAGTCCATATGCAATGAGCGCACGAGGCCCCAGTGACCTTTCAACTCGTCCACAAGTTCGCCTGTGTTTGCGTCGAATTGGTAGATGACCTCATCATTGCCGCCGGCTAGGATTGTGCGGGCGTCCTCGGAGAACTCAACGCAGGCGAGGCCGCGGTTGCGGCTGGGAAATTCCTTGATACAGAGGCCTGACGTGATATTCCAGAGCTTCGCGACGCCATCGCCGCTGGCAGAGACGATCAGCTCACCGCGGAGCTGGGCCGAGTTGACTGGTCCACGGTGGCCTAGCAGGCGTTTGACAAGATCACCCGTACGCCTATCCCATATGCAGATGGTTGTGTCCTTGGAGCAGGTGACTATGTATTTGTCGTCGAAGCAAACGTCGAGGACGCCGGCCTGGTGGCCTGTGAGGCGGCGGATGGCCCTGTAGTCACTCTTGATGTCCCAAACTATGCAGGTGTGGTCGGACGAGCCGGTGACGAGGATCTCGTCGTCGAACTGGAGGCAGAGAATAGAGGCACGGTGGTAGTCGCCTGTCGCGGAGGTGGGGGAGAATAGGTCTGGGGACGAGCGGGCCGGAGGACTAATGCTGATGAATGGGATTCGTGCGGCGTCATCGTCGTCTGGGGGGTCGATTACGAGCCGGCCTAGTGTGGACGGTGATTTTGGGTCGGGAGGGGCACCGATAATCTTGAGGCAGGGCCAGGGGTAGTGTGCGTCCCAGACACGAATGGTTCGGTCGCGGGAACCTGTAATGATTTTGTCTCTATATTTGAGTTAGAACAATTTCTACAGTCGTGGAAGGGTGATCGGCATACTCATCGAATTGAACACAATAAACGCTGTCTTTATGTCCATGTAAGTAGATTGCGGCAGCTTTGCCTTCCTTCCAGCGAGATTCCAGAGCCCGTCGAACGGCAAACATTTTCTTCCAATCCTGGTTCGGCCGAACACGTCCCAGCCCCATATACCTTGGTTGTCCGTTTGCTACTTTTCCGGTATTAGGCCCGCGCTTGTACTCGTGCCAGAAAGCTTCTCTCCACACATGATGGGAAGAGGCCAGCTCGTTCCATTGATGGGAAACCAATTCGGTTTGTCTCAGTGAGTCGGCATCAAGAAACGAGAGGACATGCGCCATAAGTTCAGCGGGTAGATAGTCCATAGGATCTGTGGCACATAGAATTAGCATCAATCGAGTTGGAAGAATCAGATGGTGGGAATCATACTTTTGCGCACAACCTCAGAATCATCCTTAGAGACGTCTACATTATTTTGTAGATTAACATCGATGCCACTCTCGGAGTCCCCTGACACATCTGACTCTTCGAGCAGAACCGTCTCAGACTCAAAAATCTTCGAATCGCCGCCTGAGGCCACGCGGCCAATCTTGACCATCTCATTTTGAGCAGCCGCAGCAGCTCTGGCAGCGGCGCCACGCGAGAGATCATCAGGGAGAATTGGCGGCTCCGAGCCATTTCCTGGAATAGGATCTGCCACGTAGGGTACTGGGGGTGGCGGCGAACCATAACGGTTGAGTGCATTGAGATTACTGTAGGAAGGGCGATGGAATGAACGACCGGGTCGGGGTCCCATGACAGCTCCAGAATCGGCCGACCTATAGTCGTCCGAAGTATTACCATCGTCTTTCCCTCCCATGGGTACTGCGAGGTTATACTTGGAAGACTTGTGCCGAAGTGTCAAGGAAAGGCGACGTGCAACGGCCCTCAACTCATGTGTGACGCCATGACGCAGGTTGGAGAAGCTTTTGCTGGCGCGATGTCTTGTTTTCAGGGAAGGAAAAGTATTGTCATCTTCCGATTCGACCAGGGTAGGCGTTGCAATATAGCCGGGTTGTTGTGGTTGTAATTGCCCGGTTCCCGGGTCGCACACCGCAATCTCATGGGAGAAGGGCGAAACTGCTTCTCGATAGCTTCCATCCTTGTGAGGGACCCATACGCCAGTGTGTGGACGCGAAGGTAACGGGGGCAACGGGGGCAAAGGCGGATCGGCTCCAGTTGTCGCAGTTTTGGGACGGAAGCCAGCTAGCAGAGAAGGTCTTCGACGGACTGAACGAGGGGGGTTTGCTGAGGTATTTGGCGACATTGGGGGCTTAAACCGTCGAAAATAGCGAGCAGAGAATTCGATATATGCAGAAAGCGAAATCGTGACGTTGCTTCTCCAGGGGAGAGTAAGGAAAAACAAGCAGCCGTGAATAATAAATACAAATGTTACAAGTGGTTTTCTAAGGAGACTGAGAATGACTCTTGATATAGATTCGGGATGCTTCGCATTCAGCAAAGAGTCCGTCCGTCCCGTTGTTGGTTGCACGGGATAATCCGACGGCAGTGAAGAGATCCGACAAAAGAGGCGATCCGCCTCTTGAAGAAGAAAGTTTTTTTTTTTTTTTACTGATCTGCAACTTTCTCGACTCCGCCGAGCCTACGAAAAATAGGGGGCAGATAACGCAAATAATAGTGCGGACAAGGGCCGGTGGACAAAGGGCTAGCCACAAAAAGAATAGGAACGATGACAAACAGAAGTGGGTGTTGCGTACTCCGTAACGTTTTCAATACAACCAGGGGGATCAGAGACAGGAGGAGAAATAGGACAGAGAATGAAATGAAAGACGGAGAGAGAAAAACACACTGGATAACAAAAGAGAGGAGGGGGGAGGTTGGAGCTGGATGAGCGTTGGTCCGGATGGTGGCAGAAAGAAAGAGAAGGAGATGTCTCCTGAAGTTTGTCTGTTTTGTCTGGTGCCTTGGCAGAAAAAGAGGGGGCGGTGAGAGCTCTGACCAATCGTAGCTATGGAAAAATTTTCCTGTTTGCCGTTTTCGCGTCGAAATTTTAAACGCTAACTAGAAGCGGAAAGGGGCTTGCAATGGTTGCCGCAAGTTGGGTGGTTTGCCGTTTCGTCGGTGTGTGTCCCGTACTGGGCCAATCAGAGCTCAGGCGGGGGGGGGAGTAGGCTCAGGGGGCACAGAACAAACAGCGTTCGACACGCGAGGTATAAACCTCCATAGATACGAGTTAAAACATCGAGGTAGAAACCTAGAAAGGGAGGCTCCAACAACCTTGGAATGACAGGGCGATGATATTTCATATATATATATATATATATATGCCTTACCCGTCCCCATGTATCTGCCCCATGATCTCTTGCATGGTTGGTTCGGTACCTGTGCACTCACTGTCAAGGATTCTTGCATTGTCGAATCATTCCCATGTCCATCCATAGTTACTCTTATTGGTGAAAGAACTGCTCGGAGAGAAAGTCCAAAACTAGGTTTTGACATGTAAAGCTTGGAGAAAACCCTTTTTTTTTTTACCCAGAAATGATGTCAATAAAATAATTTAATACTTGGAGAATATTTTTTCTCATCCAAACTCAGATTGTAACTTAAGTTAAAATAAATCTTAAAATTTTTTAACAACATCCCATCCTCACAGCGCGAGGCGGTTTGCTTGCAACTCCACCCCTGCTGAATTTGACAGGAAGATCGGCCACTACGTACAGAAGAATGCATGTATCGGGGACTACCGTCCTACAATAATCGGTCCATATAGTCCGTACTCCGTACTCCGTACATAGCTATAGTAATCGAGTCAGGACAACTCTACGGAGTACGGTACATATACTATTATACACTGAATACGCGCGCATTATTCATATCTCTTTGTCTATCCATATCCTAGCAACTCGCAGCCATGAGGAAAAAGAAGTCAGCAGAGCTAGAGCTAGAGGTAAGTTAGCCTAGAAAGGTCCCTCTCTATATTTACCTCCATAGACAATTTTGATTTTTGATTCAAAATGTGCCGGCTATGCGGTGAGTCAAGGAACGCTCTCACCGCCCTTTATATTGGAAAATATTTTAAGAGCTTCTACATCATACTGATACCCGTGCAGGTCCCTTTACATCTTTCTTTTTAAAATCCTTGATCTATCGCCTTTAGTACTATAAATAGGAACCGATGTCGGGATACACGGATGGTGTGGATATGGGGCGGGGTAGGGCGAGGGGGAGGGGCTATAGTAACAGAAGTACATGTACATACATACATTACAGGTACATATATATATATATATATATATATATATACGTGTGCTGCGCGGCGATTGAGTACGAAAATGTCTACCGAGGCACGGATTGATGCAGACGAGGCCTTGCTGAAAGGTTACTTGCAGCTCCTGGGAGTGGTACGTCTTCAATCCATGTTAAGACATGTTGACAGGGTTGTACCGTAGAAGTGATGGATATCTATGTCGGGTGCTGGGTGGCAGTGGGAGGCGAGTGCTTTTTATAGGTAGCTCTGCATCGGCGAATGGGAAGGTGAGCATCTACCAGCCATTCAGTTTGTAGATACAGTGTTGTTTCCTATATGGTGGGGGATGAAAATGAAGATCGGAGAGGCGCAAAAGGGAAGAAAGGAGACGCAACATTTATTTTCTCTCTCTTTTTATATATATATATATATTACTTAAACCTCGCATCCATCTATATCATGTAGGAGAATTTTAGGAACGGAAGAATGCAGGCCCTTCTTACCGGGAGGAGCGGGAGGGGCCGGGGATGCATGGGCGGGAGAGGCTGGAGAGATCTGTTTGTTCATGCGCTTTTATGTAAATGCACTCAGTAGTCATATCGATATCGAACCCTAGCCAACCGGAAATACTTCGTATCATCTATAAAAAATCCTCAAAAAACTAAGAGCACCCTCCTCCTCTTCATGCGAAAACTGCCATATCAATCAACCAAGATCTCCCCAAGTAAGTAGCAGGCAATTATCCAATATATCGTCCAGCGAAATAACCATCACACACCTGCAAGTCGTTGACTGCGTCTTTTGATCTAATTCTTGCGTGAGTGGTTTCTTAAAAATCAAGTTTATTGTAACACCTCTACGGAGTATATGTGACCGAATAAGGTCCAAGCCCGATCGGTATCTGTGCTATTAGCTCAGGTTAGTGGTGTTGGATATAGTTAGACTTTTGTCGCCGACTCGAACCGTTCTCTTCACTATGACAGCAGTCTAGGCGGAAGCTCCTTAGTCCTGTATGCTGCGACTCCTCATATTGCTAGCAGGACATGTGGCTCGGCTCGACCTCCTCCACACCTCCAACCCCTATGCAACCGCCACGCCCGCAACTCCCATCTTCTACACAGGACATGGATGCGTAAGGCCCGGTTCATCCCAAGCACCGTTCCAACATGCACAGAGCCATCCGCGGTCTCTGGCTGGCTCGCACCTGTTGATTCAAGTTTCACAAGAAGCGTCGGGTCAGGTGTTCGGTGCATGAAGCGTGAGAAATTCTCCAACACGTCACAGCGGCATGGTTAGCTTCTTGCAACATACTCGCAGATGCTGGGTTCAGTGTGTCCCCGGTTCAGAAATGTCGTTGACGTGCAGGGGTTGAGAGCTTTGCTGTTACGCCATGTTTGCTGGAGATTGTTCGGGTGTAGCTGGGTAGTTTGCCGCAGGCCTGCTCCAGTGAAGTTGGCTTCTGGACTATGATATTGGTTGGTTCATTGCGGGACAGATATCCTTGCAGGTAGCCCTGGTTTAGTTTGACAGGAGGTGCTAATCTCGGAAGGCGAATGTGGAGGTAGAGAGAGCTTTGAGCATTCCGCGATTGACTGGGAGGGTAGAATCTACTGAATGTCGTCGAGTAGATTTTGGTTTTTGAGCTTCCATCTGACAGGTCCTCCATTACACATGACCAGGTAAAAGTTGCCCTTTGAGCCTTCCAAGGATGTTTATGTCTAAAATTGCCCTGCATCCAACATTGCAAAGCTGGACGATCGCACGAAACCGTTATGTCGTCCAAACACTCATCTGACGCTCATTCCGAGGCAAGCATATAGGCGCATTGCTTCTCCCATTCTCGACCTAAATCTTAAGCGGGGCATTTGCAGGTCTAGCGCACCTTTGCATGAGAACTAAGGGATGCATATATTTTTTCTGTACTGCAACAAGAAAGACTATCCCAGCTCTGTATCGCCTCGGTGGAGTTGGCAATCAATCCGGCTAAAAGCTCAAGGCGGTTTAAGAAAGCCAGGTAGCTTCCAACCGCTTCATTGTGCTACCTAAAGGGGTTATGTTGACTTTGTTTTAAGCTTCATCATGGCTTAAACCGGTCGACAATTATTCTTTGGGGCAGTTTCACCAATAAACCAACCACCTTGGTAGTTAGCGGGAGATCATGGATGGAAGTACTCCGTATTTCATAGGTTATGATGTAAGAGGGGTAAATGTCCGGTAGGGCTAAACCTTACAGATCTGTCAGCTTGTATGTACAGCGCAAGGAACGGAAAGCAAGAATATAAGATACAGATTTTGCAGAAGTTGGCCGCTGTTGGCATATCCTTTGTGCTGCTGTTGCTTGCTTGTTTTATCCCATATATAGTTTTACCCGCGACGCGGTTCTGTGCGGGACTTTTCGCTATATTCCGCTGTCTTTACCTGCATATGACTGGCTATATCTTTCTGTAGCCCCTCCTATTTGCTTTGCTCTTTCTCCTTGTTCTCCTTCTCCCACTCCCTAACTCCATACCTCATTGCTACAATTGCTACCTGTTCATTGAAAAATCCTGCGATCTACATGCATACACACCCGACAAGAGCAAATATGGCCCCTCCAAGTGTTCTGATGGTGAGGCTAATCTTTCGAATATGACGGTTGATCAAGCAAAATATTTCTAACTATGTATCCTATCGCAGGTGGGAACCGGAGAATATACCACTGGCTTCGTAGGCGGATGCGAATCAGGTTCAGACAAAAAAGTTGGCGTCGTGGGCTTGACCCTCTTCGATTTGCGCAGGAGAGGTAAAGTCGGTAGCTTGAGCATGGTGGGCGTCTCCGGGTCCAAGTTCCCTGCAATTAGTGAGTCTACTTTCCATACGGATTGAATGAGCCGCTTCTACATCCAGTCCAGGTGATGGTCTAGGTATGATTGACGTCGTACATCGCCAGTCACATCCTAATAAAACATTGTGGAACAGAACAGCACCTCCAGAAAAACATCTCGCAGGTCTATAACAACCTAGACGTTTCTTTTAAATCCTTTCCCGCAGACGACCAAGTGGATCCAGAAGCCTACAAGGCCGCCATAGATGACCTGCCCCCCGGGTCTGCAGTCATCATCTTCACCCCAGACACCACCCATTATCCCATCGCTCTATATGCCATCCAGCGCAAGATCCACGTCTTGATTACCAAACCCGCCACAAAACTGTTGAAAGACCACCTCCACCTCCTCGAGGAATCGCGCAAGCACGGCGTCTTCGTCTTCGTGGAGCACCACAAGCGCTTCGATCCAGCTTACTCCGACGCACGCGCCAAGGCACGCACCCTAGGTGACTTCAACTACTTCTACAGCTACATGAGCCAGCCGAAGAGTCAGCTGGAGACGTTCAAGGCCTGGGCGGGCCGCGATAGCGACATCTCGTATTACTTGAACTCTCACCATGTGGATATCTGCGAGAGTATGGTGCCGGAGTATTCGCCGGTGAAGGTGACGGCGATGGCATCGAAAGGTGCCGCGGTGGCACTGGGCTGTGTGCCTGAGACAGAGGACACGATCACACTCTTAGTCGAATGGAACAAGAACGGTGAGCCGGACAAGATTGCCACGGGAGTTTATACGGCGAGCTGGACGGCGCCACAGAAGGCTGGGGTTCATTCGAATCAGTATTTTCATTGTATGTACGAACACGGACGGAGGAATTTAAAATCTCGTCTGCTCCCATTCGCCTTTATCCCCTTACCCTTTATTTCACCGCATTCGGCAGGGAAAGCCTTTGTGACCAATTGGAACTAACATAAATCCGAAAATTTTAGGGATGGGCTCGAAAGGCGAGATTCGAATCGATCAAGCCAAGCGTGGTTATGATGTGACAGACGATAGCCAGGGTAATGTCGCCTGGGTAAATCCGTAAGTTCCACAATGTCCTACTCCGCCCCCACGGCACACCCCATCTCAAAAACATCCAATCAATAATAATATTTTTTGAAAAAATCCCGCAACGCTCCACCCAACCTCATCAGGCAAGGAAGAAGCTACGAAAAGAAATTAAAAAGAAATAATCGTTCAGACCCACAAACTCAATGGATTATTTTCTCTTTTCACAGATTCTACATGCGCTATGCACCGGACGAAGAAGGCAACTTCGGCGGTCAGACAGGTTACGGTTATATCAGTTTTGAGAAGTTTGTAGATGCCGTAAGCGCGTTGAACGACGGTCGGGTGACTCTGGATGAGCTCGATAAACGTGGGCTACCTACCCTTAAGAACACGATCGCCACCACTGCAATTTTGGAGGCCGGAAGAGTGTCGCTAGATGAGAAGCGCGCGGTTGAGATCGAAAGGTTGGGAGAGACTTGGCGGTTGAAGTAATGTGAAGTGTCGCTGGTCGGGGGCACGTAAGGTTTAAGGGGGAAAGGGAGATATATCACGCACCATGCTGAGGGGTTGATTCGCTTCTTCCTTTCATGCGTGCTTCACGCATACTGTTATCGTTTTGTGGTTTGGAAGTTTGCTTCTCGTGGGAGGTAAAGGGGGAATCGCACGGAGATAATTTATCATTGAGGTGGGTGTGTAAGAATTGAATTGAAATGAATAAATTGGAAGTGACTGATTTGATAGCTCGCTCACACGGCTAAAAATGATGGAGAGGCAGTGGATAACATAGGGAAAGAGCAAAGATAAAGAAGAGAGAGAGAAAAAAAAAAAAAAAAAAAAAAAAAAAAAAAAAAAAAAAGGCCTAATAAACCTACAAGGTAGTTAAGTAGCATTGATGCGCCATACATAGCCAGCCGCCAAAACGTAAAGGACGGCCGTAGGGTTAGTTATATATATGGTTTTTTTTTGGAGTTTCATTTCGTACGGAAATCGTTGAAAGAATTTAGAATTTTTGTTTTTGCTTTTTAGACGCTTGCAACCCATGTATGAGTTGCGAGGTGAGGAGTTGGTATATATCACATGAATTACACATATATGAACCTTGGAAATGTATAATTCATGTGATTTATGCCCCTATTCAATATTTTATAGAATTCGGGGTTTGTTTTGCAAGCGGAGATGGATCCGAGTGCAATGAATGCATGTAGGTGAGAAATCTATAGAAATGGAGCAGGTTAGTTAGGAGTAAACAGATGGAGATGTACAGGATTGCAAGTGATTGTATGATTACTGGGGATCAACTTACGCTCAACCACATCATTTTAGATCCAATATTTCATTTACATATTGGATCCAATTTTGTTTGCTGTTAATATAGATAATGTTAGATTTTGGTGACAGAAACGCATCGCGCTGATACAGGAAATATGATAAATCGCGTTGACTTACGCGTGTGGGGACAGCCAGAATTATTTTCATTTTCATATAAGTTTGCTGTAGAATGTAAGCTTCGAGGCACTATTTGAGTGAATCAAAGGTCGTGGGCTAGTAGTTGAAGAGTAAATTCTTCGTATGATGAAGAAAGTCGCATTACCTTTCTGCCGGTATCATGGTGATTTAAGGAACTCCCAAAACTTACACAGTTAAACATGAACACCTGGTGGGCAATCATGCGGCGTTAAGTTGATTTAGTCTGGGAAGACCAAAATAATTTCCCCAAAGATTTCCTGAACGAAGTTCGCATTTTGAAAACGAATGAGGATTTTAGCCTCAATCGCAGTGAAGTTCTTTTACATATGTTAGTTCTCCTTCAGGAACCACACGAAAGGACGAGAGAAACAGCTGCTCCAAGAACTAACCTTGACTACTCGAGATCAGATACGGCAGCAGGATTGTGCGTATACGTATGTTGTCATTTGATTCAATTAAAGAGTCCTAAGAAGAGATGAGTCAGTTAATGGGACATAGCAAAACATAATAATAACGATTAGTTCAAGGTTAACAATGTGAAGGAAGGGAGGGCATTGTGGTTTGTGTTTTATTAAAGTGTTTGAGGTCGGAGCAACAAGTAGGAAACCTTGGAAGTTGATTTCAATCACGTGGAGTGGGGCACCAGATTATATAATCTAAGTTACCTATTAAAGAATTTGCACCGCCATGAACTCCACAATTCAGCCACCGGTTGCGAATCTGCGCTGACGCAGCAAGACCAGGAAGCCAGCCACGCTCGATCTGAATAGCACCTGCGTAGAATTTACCAAGTGTCGGGTTCAAAGCATGGACTACGTCATTGCTCAGCTCTACATGATTATTTGGCATGTGCCCGGGTCAAAATTTTCCCGCGCAACCCAACCTCCCCAAGGCACATCCGCAAAATCTATACTAGTGGACAGCCGTTCGTTGGGAAGGGGGAACGGCGATTTGCCCCGGCTAGGCAGCGTAGACTAAGGCGGCGGTTATGGATCTCACAGCAGACATATTCAAATTTTGTTTGGGCTATGCTTCCGGCGACTTGTACAGATATCTGTGGATGCATCCAGCTTGGGTCTCCATGAAGAGAACTGCTCCAGAACCCTTTCATTTTAACTGCATCCCTCCTCAGTGTGTCAAGGTTTGTTCCAATATAGCGAATTTGGGACTGAGGGTATTTAGTATGTAACAGTTAAAAGACTGAAGCACTTCCCCCACTTCCTTTCGGAGTCCGTGAGTCGC